GGAGAGTGAAGTGTCCAGCTGATAAGAAGAGAGGGCATATGCATAAGAACACCCACACTTGCAGATAATACCCACTTATACTGGCTTCAGTGACTGGACGATCAGAGCTCAACCAGAAGTAAAAAAAAAAAAAAAAAGTATTCTCATACAATTTGATGAACTTGACCTATACCTATGGAAGCAGTAGCTCAAAAGAGGGAACAAGTCCTTACAGCAAGAATCATTCCCACCCCCTCCACACACAGAGTAGACAGGGATGGGCAACTTGGACATTGGCTACCCAAAATGGGGGGCAGGGGGCAACAAAAGCAAGAAGTGACTGGCTTACAAGCTTTCAAGAGGGAACCTAGATCCAGAGGGCCTGGAGGAAGGTAGAATCTCCAGTGAGTAGTATCCAATCTGTCTAGGCGGGGCTGATGAAATGAAATGCAGGTAGGTCTCTTGTGATACAATAGTGAATAATTGTTATCAGGACTGATTGTGAGGGTTGGAAATGTAAAGGTAGATGTTTTATAACAAGGAGGGGAGTGATTAACTTTTCAGTCTAGGAGCGGAGGTCCCTAGGACCATCAATGGAGAAGAGCGGAGAGTAGGACCCTACCCAGAGAAGCAGTGATGCCTGAAATGGAGGCAGAGATGATGACGTGGAGCGATGGAGCAGCTGGAGACTTTAGATCCAGAGAGGGAGAGCGACTGTGTGCTGAGAACCGGGTGGGGGAGGGGGTGCAGGCTTGCAGGGTATACCCTTTGGTTGGTTGATGATGCATGGAGGGGATTGTAACCATGGCAATGAAACGATATATGCTAGAATGAATGTAAAATTAATGTTTCCCCATGTAAACTATCACCTAATTCACAATAAAACATTTAAGAAAAAAAAAAAAAAAAAGTAAAATGTTTAATAACTTTATAGATAATACTTGTTAATTCCACTAATAATTTGTATAATAGGTTTAACAAGATGTCATTAAAATAATGTTATGTTTATATTTTTAAATCTGGTTATTAAATTTTTTAGAAGTACACCTAAAGCTTGAATTACATTTGGCTTAGAAACAAAATCATCAGAATATTGAACATTTTACCAGACAATTTGACCAGAATCAAAAGACATTATTAAAACTCAAAACTGTAGGCAAACGTATTATGTAAAACAGACTAAAAAGACCTAAAAGCAAAAAGGCAATGTGAAAATCTTGTTTGCATCCCAGCAACTTTAATGTGAGTGATTCTTTTTTTTCCTTGCGTAGGACAAAGTGGTTTTGCTTTTTTGGTAGACGTTTCTTATTCTTAGGAGGTACATACTGAAGATTCAAGGGTGACATGGATGTCTATAATAAACCTTTGAATGTTCTACATATAATGTTCAATATATAATACTGAACAGCCAGAATGCTCTCCTTGGAGGCCAGTATGGACAAACTTCGTCTCTCATACTTCAGACATACTGTCAGGAGGGACCAGTCACTGGAGAAGGATATCATGTTTGGTAAGGTGTTGGGTCAGAGATAAAGAGGAAGACCCCCAGCGAGATGGATTGGCAAAGTGGCAGCAGCAATGGGCTCAAGTGTGGCAACAATTGTGAGGTTGGCCCAGGATCAGGCAGTGTTTCGTTCTGCTGTGTATAGGGTCGCTATGAGTCAATACCAACTTGATGGCACCTAACAATTTTTGGTAGCCAGTGTCTAAACTGCCCATCCCTATTCAATAAGGAGCTCTGATAGTATAGTGGTTATGAATCGTGCTGCAAACCTTCAGGTCAGCAGTTCGAAACTACCAGCTGTTCCATAGGAGAAAGATGAGTCTTTCTGCTCCTGTAAAGATTTATAGCCTCAGAAACCCTGTACAGGGTCACTATGAGTCAAAACTGACCCCAGGGCACATCACAACCACGATGACGATCGACCCAATGGGAGTACTGGTGTGGTGCTGTGGGTTAATGGGCTGCACTACAAGGTCAGTTTGAACAGCAAGGTCAGTGGTTCAAGCTCACTAGCTGCTCCTTGAAATCCCTATACAGGTTTGTTATGGGCCAGAACCGGTTCGACAGCACTTAACAACAACAATCAACCCAATGTACTGAGGATGCAAGCTTGATCCTTGGTATGAAGAGTCTTTCCCTTTTGGTTGGAATTTTGAGCAACTACCTCCATAAACAAGGAGCTCTGGTAGCGTAATGGTTACAAATTGGGCTGTGAACCTCACGGTCAGCAGTTCGAAACTACCAGCTGTTCCGTGGGAGAAAGATGAGGCTTTCTGCTCCCGTAAAGATTTACAGCCTTGGAGACCCTGTACAGGGTCATTATGGGTTGGAACCAACATCACGGCACATAACAACAACAACATCCATAAACAAAGGTCAAGTTCATCAAATTGCTAATTTGATGAACTTGACCTTTGTTTGTGGATGTAGCAATGTACACTGGCTCCCCGTATCAAACTTCTTTAACTTCATCTGGTTGAGTTCTGGTCAGTCATGCAAGCTAGGTCAAATGGGTACTATCTGCAAATTTGGAGGTTCTTGCACACCTCGCCCCTGTTAAGACCAGCTGGCTGCTTCACTCAGCTCTAGCCTCCAGTTGCTAGGTCATTTTCCAAGGGCTCTGCAGACCACTGCCTGTAAGCTTTACGGTAGCAGATTATTAGGTCTGTGTCCTGTGGAGCCACTGGGAGGGTTCGAACTGACAACCATTCAGTTACTAGCTGAGCACATTAAGTGTGGTGTCATCAGGTCTCCTTAATGGGTTATTAGCCTAAAAAGGATTATTTTTCTACCTGAACTTATTAAACGTCAATATTCTTCATCTAAAGCCAAAGAATCATACCAGTATACACTCTAACATAGAACCACCTCATCACAAAGGTGGAAGTGCTTTTCCCTTCTGGCAAAAGAACATTAATTTTTCTTTGAAGGTTTGGGGAAGGCAGAGCCTAGATGATGCCTCAATTGTATTTCCTGATTGGTTTTCCCTCAGAAACCCCGAGCAGTCACCTTGATCCCAGCAGGTCAGGATGAGTAGTAGGTTGGTGTGGGTGACCTGAGGTGGAATTTTGGAGGAATGGCTAAGGCTCCTAAGTGCCCATTTTAACACAAATCACTAGATTAGGCAGGGACCTTTGTCCCCGCATTACTAGCTTTGGACTCTTCCCTGACCTCAGAATCACATCTGGACTCAGTGTGCCTCCAAAAGAAAAAAATTACTTCCAACAAACAGGTGGAAGGCGTGAGTGGTAAAATGGCGGATTACTGGCTGACACCATAGGTCAAATGTGCATCTAACTTATACTTCACACACCAGCAAGTGAGTAATGGTCACAGTCACGGGTACTGGATCAGCAGTGACAATCTATAGCTAGGACATAGAAGCACCAATTCTTTTTTTGTTGTTGTTGTTAAAATTAATGGTTTATTTCCATTTTCAAGACTAGTGAGGAGTCCAGAGTAGACTAATCTATGTGGTTATAGTTTAAATGTACCAAAGAAAGACTTGTCCTATGTACAGGGAAGATGATGAAGGGGCTCATTTCAATATTTACCTTTTCTTATTTGCAGCATCTAAATAAGAAATGTGAACACCCATTTCCCCCAGTTTGATTCAAGCAGCCCAGATATGTAAAGCTGAAAACATCTGAAATGGGTGTCAGCAGTGATACGTATTAGTCAGCTAGTGGGGTGAGCTCCAGAAATCCAGGAATCGTTGAAATATGAGGGAAAACAGCATTTAAGTGAAGTCTGGAAGGAAGGTAACTGCCACCACGTCCAGTCTGAGGTGGACACAGTCCACGCCCCACTGATGGAAGCTGAGCTGCTCCTACCTCCTGGACATTAAGCAGAAAATGATTACTTTTATTCAAACTGACTGGAAGTGAGCCGAACAGTTCAAAGAGGAATCATACTGTTCTCTCCACATGAGGAGGGTCGCCACTCCTCTGGTCCCCAGTAAAGGGGATGATGTGCCAAGTTCTGCTCCTTCAGAAGGCCAAGCTGAAGGCCACTTATTGCTAGCAAAGCTGGAGTGGCCCTTCCCCCACCAATTCCTTTTTAAAGAATTGGGCCTTGAGTTCACACCAGCTTGCAGTGATGGCATAGTCCAGAGTCCCATACGTGTGGGCCCGTGGTCTGAAGGAGATTCACGCAGCAATGCGTGACAGAGACACCACCCACTAGAGGTCTCCCCTGACATCTGTACCAAACGGAAATGTGCTGGTTTCTCCGGAAAGCAGCCTCTGTAGATGGTGACACTATGCTAGGGGGCACATATTGGCACCGATGCTTTAAACCACGTCATACAGCGGCCCCACTCGGAGGGATGTACGAATGACAAATGAAAGCTACGTTCACAGAAAACCTCTTCAGGAATGTTTACAACAGCTATATACCAAATGGAAACCCACACATCTTCCAAATGGTGAAAACACGGATTGTGCAATGTTTATACAACAGAATGCAACACAAGATAAACACACCGTCAACACACTCAAATTGTGCTCATGTGTCTTCAATTTTCAGTGTTCTATCCTTCAGATAGGAGAGAGAACACTAGTCATACTTTGGATGACCACTCATTAGCATTTAAAACCCGTTTCTACTTCATTAAAGTAGGACGTTTTTGCTAAGTACCGTGGAATTGATTCTGACGCATAGTGACTCTGCACAGGATTTCTGAGGCTGTAATCTTTACAGGAGCAGAAAGCCTCACCTTTCTCCCACGGAACAGCTGGTAGTTTCGAACTGCTGACCTTGAGGTTAGCAGCCTGATTCATAAATGCTTTTGTGGATTATGTTATGCCAATTGACCTAAATGTCCTCTGAGACTATGATACTGAGGCCCTGGGCTGAGCAAATCAATGCCTCAAAGTGTGCAGTTACGTCTAGCAAGTTTTGGTAACTTTGACCCCCCCTATGATCCACTTCATTCATTGATATATTTGCAGCAAAGGTAAATACCTATATCCCATCAAGCACAGGTATTTGCGGGTCTACTCCCATTCTCCCATACCTGTTCAGTCTGCATGGTCGATCCATACATCTACTAGTGTTGTTAAATGACACTGAGTTGGTTCCAACCCATAGTGACCTGTATAGGGTTTCTGAGGAGCCACTGATGAGTCTGAACCATTATTACTGCAGACTGTGTATGTAACAGTATTTACCTGGTGCCTTGTAATTTCACTCCTCCTAGTATCGCTCCCCTTCTCCATCATTTTTTGGTCAATCTTCCTTACAGCATATTGACTGCCTCTCCACCTAAGTTAACTGCCACGTCTTCCCTCTAGCTAGTAATTTACCCTCCTTCCCGCCCCCCATACCATCACAGACTTTTTTTCTGTGTGAAAATCTTTTCCTTTTTACAATAATGATCTCATAAAATATTTGACCTTTTTGTGACTACTTCATTCAGCATGTCATAAAGGCCACTTCTGGATAATAGTGAGGTATTTGTACTTTCATTGTGGCTGATATGATAGCATTTATCAAGTTACACTCAAAAACTGAAAACAAAACACTGTTTTGAAATTCTCAAGAAAATGGATTTGGTGCTTGTCAATATCCAGGTGAGTGGGTGGGCATCGAACACCTCTCTTCTTGGACACTGACTTTTATGATTTCCACCATCTAGCACTATTACTAAGGTGCTCTGGTAGCGTAGTGGTTACGAATCGGGTTGCTAATCTCAAGCTCGGCAGTTCAAAACTACCAGCTGTTCTGTGGATAAAAAATGAGGCTTTCTGCTCCCATAAAGACTTACAGCCTCAGAAACCCTATGCAGGGTCGCTGAGTCGGAACCGACTCCACGGCACATTACAACAACATTACTAAGGCGCTCTGGTAGCGTAGCGGTTACGAATCAGGCTGCTAACCTTAAGGTCGGCAGCTCGAACCTACCAGCTGTTCTGTGGGAAAAAAATGAGGCTTTCTGCTCCCGTAACGATTTACAGCCTCGGAAACCCTGTACAGGGTCGTCATGAGTCGGAACCGACTCCACGGCACATAACACCACCATTACTAAGGCGCTCTGGTAGCGTAGTGGTTACAAAAATCAGGCTGCTAACCTCAGGGTTGGCAGCTCGAACCTACCAGCTGTTCTGTGGGAGAAATATGAGGCTTTCTGCTCCCATAAAGATTTACAGCCTCGGAAACCCTGTACAGGGTCGCTTCGAGTCGGAACCGACTCCATGGCACATAACCACCACCACCACCAGTAGTACTCCAGGGGTCCTAACAGAGCCCAGGGATTTCCGTAGGTTGCTACAAAGGCAATTGCTGGGTCAAGGGAAGGTTTGATTTTCAGCCACCATTTCAAGGCCCCTTACATGAAGAGTTAGTTCTGTGAGGTAGAAAGTCACTAGGCACACCTCCAAGCCTAATAGCCACTTGTTGTTGTGATGTGCTGTGGAGTCGATTCCGACTCATAGCGACCCTGTACAGGGTTTCCGAGGCTGTAAATCTTTACGGGAGCAGAAAGCCTCATCTTTCTCCCATGGAACAGTGGTAGTTTCGAACTGTTGACCATGAGATTCACAGACCGCTTCATAACCACTACACTAACAGAGCTCTTTAATAGCCACTTAGCTTGTCCCAAAAATACAGAACCCCGAGCTGGTGCCCTATCTTATCCAGGTCCTGCAAGGATGTACACACCAGAAGGCACTATTCTAGTGAAACTGCAAGCCTCAGCAGCTGGCCAAATGTACCCTTTTGCAGTATCTGAGTTATCACTGAGCAGTTTCTGAGCATGTGCAAGACAGAGGCACCACTGCAGGTAGGTCAAACTGGGGAACTGCTGGTGCTCAAGTACAGTGGACCCCAGAATGAACCACCCTCCATGGAAACTCTGTTTGTCCCAATGCTGTAAGAGAGGAACACTTCTAGGAGATGACATAGGGCTATGATTTTTTTGTACAGTCTCATTAGTCAATCAGGCATCAAGATTGTAAACAAGAATGATATGCACTGAGTACAGAACATGTTCAATGAAATATTATCCCTGGGGTACAATCTTGATTCTGCTACAAACATACGAGGAAGGCTGAAAGTTCATACCCAAGGTTTGGGCAGACTCTGACTTTATATTTCTCCCTCCACTTTTCAGCTAAAAACAATTTTCTACAAGGAAAACGGGATGCTTTATAATTTGAACCAAAAAAAAAAAAAAAAGACTAAACCCACTGTGGTCAATTCCCCACAGCATCCACACAGGACAGAGTAGAAGTACCCCACAGGGCTCCAAAGCTGTAAGTCTTTAGGGTAGAAGACGGCCAGAGCTTTCAGCTGTGGAGTACCTGGTGCATTTGAACCAGTGAGCTTTCAGTTCGCAACGGAGCACTTTAACAGCAGTGCCACCAAGACTACTCCTTTTGAGACTCTGAAAAGATGCTTCAACATAGATGATAAAAAAAAGAAAACACTTTTTTCTAATGTGTGGTTGAGATTTTTCTAATGAAGAGAATTTTTATGTAAATGAACCCAAATGCAAATATTATCAAAATTCAAGAATTAAAAGGGAGACATTTATAACCTTAATGTTTAATCAGAAAATAAAAAGTGAAATTAATGTACATGGGAATCAGGCAGTGACAGAAATGTACACTTTTAGATCGAATCCTGACGTGATGCAGTAGGATAAGCACCGGATTGCTAACCACAAAGTCGGCAATTCAAACCCACCAGCCACTCCTCCTCAGAAACCCTACACAGGGTCTCTGAATAGGAACTAACTTGATGACACTTAACCACCTTTTAGTGAGATTTCTCCCCTAATCGGCGTCTCTTTGTGTACAGACAGGTATTTTGTGAGTGACGTCTTTCTCATGATGCTGACAGTCAGAGTCTCTCCACCAGTGTGTGATGTCTCATAATCATCTATTCTAAGGGAGGCAGACTTAACAGGCCTCCATCCTCTTTCATACTCACAGATCAATCCACAAGGCATTTTCTTAACATTGTTACAGTAGGAAAAGACGTGGGTACATTCCCAGATCACTTGCATTTACATGATGTCCCTCCACAGAGACTTCCTCTATGTTCAGATGAGTTTTCCTTATTTGCAAAATTGAAGGACATTGGAGAAGCAGAAAAAAACACACCATTCCTTACACTTACATGGTTAATCTGCCATGTATCATCTTCCAAAAAGAAAATGTGTAAAATTTCTAACAATACTTAGATGGATATTGTTTGCCTCCAGTATACCCACTCAGATGTTACAACGAATAAGAAACATCAAGGTTTTCTCACATTTGTAAGAACACTGTCCACTGTGAGTTAGGATACTTACATAGAAAAGGAGGAAAATGAGAAGATTTACCAGATTCCTGATATTTGTTAAGTGGTCTCTTCTAAGGCTACATTTGTGTCTGGGGGGTAAGCGGTATGAACAACAGTGTGGCATTTCCCATATTGGCTACATTTAAAAGGTCCACCTCCACTGCAAGGTTGCTGATGTTCAACAAGGACGGAGAGCTGACTAAATGCTTTCTCACATTCATTACATTAATAAGCCCCCTCTCTGCACTGTGAGTTCTTACATGTGAAGTGAGGTGTGAAATAAATTTAAAGGCTTTGCCGCATTTCTTACATTCGTAAGGCCTTTCTCCACTATGAATTCGTAAATGTTTAGTGAGGGCTGAGGATTGACTAAAGGCCCTCCCACATTCCTTACATGCGTAAGGTCTCTCTCCACTGTGAATCCTTGTATGTGTAGTGAGGTTTGAGGACTGTCTGAAGACTTTCCCACATTCCTTACACTGATAGGACCTCTCTCCACTGTGAGTCCTTATATGTGTAGTGAGGTGTGAGGACTGACTAAAGGCTTTCCCACATTCCTTACACACATAAGGCCTAACCCCGCTGTGAGTTCTTATGTGTTCAGTGAGGTATGAGGAACGACTAAAGGCTTTCCCACATTCCTTACATTCATATGGCCTCTCTCCACTGTGGGTTCTTATATGCTGCGTGAGGGACGAAGAATCACTAAAGGTTTTCCCACATTCCTTACACTGATAAGGTCTCTCTCCACTGTGTATTCTTTTATGTGTAGTGAGGTGGGAAGAGGAACTAAAGGCTTTTCCACATTCATTACACTCGTAAGGCCTCACCCCACTGTGAGTTCTTATGTGTTCTGTGAGATACGAGGAACGACTAAAGGCTTTCCCACATTCCTTACATGTGTACGGTTTTTCTCCACTGTGAGTTCTTATGTGTGCAGTGAGGTACGATGAACGACTGAAGGCCTTCCCGCATTCCTTACACTGGTAAGGCCTATTTGCACTGTGAGTTCTTCTATGTAGAGTTAGGTGTGCGGAACAACTGAAGGCTTTCCCACATTCCTTACATTCATAAGGCCTCGCTCCACTCTGACTTCTCACATGTGTAGTGAGTTGTGAGGAATCACTAAAGGCTTTCCGACGTACCTTCCATTCATGAGGGTACTTTTCATGTGAAATGAAAAATGAAGGATTACAGGTTTTATAACCTTCTTTACATTCATGCTTATGATCTTTAACATGCTTCTGACAGGATGAGAGAGTACAAAAATCGTTCCTGCTCTTGATACTTTCCCTGTGTTTCTCTCCAGTAATTGTTATCAAGGGATCCTTAAGACTTGACTCATAAGGTTTCTCTACAGCAAGAGTTCTCACAGGAGTGCTTAAGTCAGAGGGACGAGTGCAGGCCTCTCCACATTCCTGAAGAACAGCGTGTCCACTGTAAGACCTGGTGTGAGGCGTATACGACAACTGCTCCCGGTAGACTTCTCCACACTCACAGCATTCGAAAGGATTGACTTCTGGAGGATCTTTATGTAGCACAGGAAGATCTGAAATCTGTCTGAAGGTTTTTCCACACTGGTTACCATTATTATTTTCATGGAGGTTCTCTATTGTACGCTTTCTGTTAAAAATAAGCAACATGATGTTGGATATAAATTTGCTATGATCTCACTGCTTCCAAACACAGAACACGCATGGCTTTTGGCCTGAGTTGTTTCATGTTTTATACATTAAATCATCTAAT